GCCGCTGGTTCTGTATCTTCAAGTTCTTACTTATTGAGCTAGCTTTAGCCTCTTCGTCCTCCAAACGAGAAATTCTTGTCTCTGTTTCGTCCACCCTTGCGCCTAGGCTATTCACAGCTTCCTTGAGAGACTCAATTCCACCTTTCACCGTCGTCATATCTTGTGCTACCTACTGAAGCAGAGATCTTATAGAAGTCAGCTCGGCCGCCACACCATCTTGGGAAGGACACCTGGCATCCACACCATGAGGTGTCTCCGCCATAGTAGTTAGCGAAGTAGCCTGAGTGTTGTGTGTTTTCCCTCACGGCATAGTCGGATCGTTGCGTGTAAAGTAATGACTCTTCTGCCTCCTTCCACAGAATTTGCCAGGGCTGACCCAAAGTAAGACAAATGACCGGCTCTAACTTACTTTTAACAAGGTTTAGGGGGGTTGGAGTGCGCGCCTCCAACTTATGCTGCCATCTTGGGCGGGCGTACCACGTGACTCGGTCTCTCTGTCTACTCGCTGTCAGTACTCTTGCTGCAGCATTTTGGATTAGCTGAAGGCTTTTCAGGGAGTTTTTAGGACATCCTGATAATAATGAATTACAGTAGTCCAGCCTGGAAGTAATAAATGCATGAACTAGATTTTCAGCATCACTCTGAGACAGAATATTTCTAATTTTAGAGATGTTGCACAAATGGAAGAACGCAGTCTTACATATTTGTTTAATATGTGCATTGAAGGACATGTCTTGGTCAAAAATGACTCCAAGGTTCCTCACAGTATTACTGGAGGCCAAGGTGATGCCATCCAGAGTAAGAATCTGGTTAGATACCATATTTCTAAGATTTTCAGGGCCGAGTACAATAACCTCAGTTTTATCTGAATTAAGAAGCAAAACGTTAGCGGCCATCCAGCTCTTTATGTCTTTAAGACATTCCTGCAGTTTAACTAATTGGTGTGTGTTATCTGGCTTCATGGACAGATAGAACTGGGTGTCATCTGCATAGCAGTGAAAATTTATGCTACGTTTTCTAATGATACTGCGTAAGGGAAGCATGTATAATGAAAACAGAATTGGTCCTAGCACTGAACCCTGTGGAACACCATAATTGACCTTAGTGTGTGAAGAGGACTCTCCATTTACATGCACAAATTGGAGTCTATTAGATAGATATGATACAAACCACTGCAGTGCAGTACCTCTAATACCTACAGCATGCTCTAATCGCTCTAATAGGTTATTATGGTCGACAGTATCGAACACTGCACTAAGGTCTAGCAGGACAAGCACAGAGATGAGTCCACTGTCAGAGGCCATAAGAAGATCATTTGTAACCTTCACTGTTTCTGTGCTGTGATGAGCTCTGAAACCTGACTGAAACTCTTCAAATAAGCCATTCCTCTGCAGATGATCTGTTAGCTGTTTGACAATTACTCTTTCAAGGATTTTTGATATGAAAGGAAGGTTGGAGATTGGCCTGTAATTAGCTAAGACTGCTGGGTCTAGAGATGGCTTTTTAAGTAAAGGTTTAACTACAGCCAGCTTGAAGGCCTGTGGTACATAGCCGATTATTAGAGATAGGTTGATCATATTTAAGATTGAAGGATTAATTAATGGCAGGTTTGTAGGAGTTTTATAGGACCCACATCTGTTACTATATTACTATATTAACCCTTAATACAGAGAATATACTGAAAATTTACCACAGATGATGTAACACTCCATTATCTGCAGGACTGCAGATGAGCAGAAACTACATATTGTATTTTTTTTTTTACTGTGTTAGCTACTGGGGTGATATTTGAGGTCGGGGAAACAAACTACATTTCAATGAAGCAGAAGCAAAACATGTTAATTCACATTTATGTCACAATGTTCAATGAATTGTACCTGCCAGTGGACCAGAACTGATTTGATGTTTGCTGCTGTGATGTCTTTGCTATTCGGTAGCAAATATCATTAGAACCGACTGCTGAAAACTAACTGATACCATTCTCAGTCGACTTTTTGACCTCCAGTTATGCTAGAGAGAGGCATGACATGCTATGTAACCTAAACATGTTTTTTAGCTTGATCTTACCTTATAACTGAACCCACAAGAGTGTACTCATGACAGCACATACACCAACAGTTATATATTACTGTTGGAAAATAAATAAATAAGTAACCTTTATGATGTAACAATGCTATAATAATGGCTTGTTTGGGCTTTGTGCGCAGAAATGTTGAGAGGGTTGAGAAGGAAACTTAGAGTAGTTGAGTTGTCACAATACCAGATTTTCAAACTTAATATTGGTACTTTTTTTCATATCGCAGCTAAACTTTTGACCTCATCCTGCAACAAGAGAAGTAATGGCAAAGAAGCCATTTTTTGAAAAAGATAAGTTAATTTTCCACGAATTTTCAAAATTATAAATTAGATCAACTATCTGTGACATTTTTATCTGTAATGTATCTTACCTTCAGAATATCTAATAAGTAATAACTAATAAAGAAATGAAACAACACAATACATAACACATTTAAATCATAGAAATTTTTGTAGTAGAAAAGCATTAAAAAAAATTTTAAAATGAACTTTTGTGGTATTAGTTATGCTAAAATAAAGAAGATATTTTAAAAATGGTTTTACTAAAAGTCAATTTTAGTATTGATTAATATCTCAGTATGGATTTTTTTCTGACAGCCCTAGCTGGAACAATAGGGTTAAAGGTCATAGGTCAAAGAAACAATGATTATTGGTTTGAATTGTGAAACAAAAAGTGGTCTTTCATATTGTTGATGTTTTCTTGACGCCATCCATCGATCCCAACCTCCTCATTTTATTGACTTGGCACATAGCTAAATCTGCTGACTTCCCTGTCACACTAAATTTTCACAGCAAGAAAAAAGATGTGTTTTGTTGCTAAAACAGTTAATGGTAAAATGTAACTGTGGGTCATAATAGGTTGCTACAAAAATGACCTCTGGGGTCACCTGTTAAGTAGTTCAGTCATGTTGTGCATATGAATAAAGTATTGCAGCTATTTGTAATGAGCTTGGCGTGAGATCTCTGTTTCAATATTATTATAAAACTGTCCTTAGGATATGCAAACCTGCTCTACACTCTAGTTAGACTCAGACTAATTGGACATTAACTTGTTAACACACATTGTTCCTGTCTAATAAGGCGTCTTTCAAAGGGCACATGTTCACCGCTAATTCAGTTTATATTATAAATGTCCAATTAATTGGGCATTTATAATACAAGTCCACCTCTCCTGGCATATGCATGGTAGCATATGCCAACAGCAAGTGTTAGACTCTTATTATTCTTCCTATTCTTTAGCTCAGTGTTTTCCATACTTTTGGAATCATGGCCCATATTTCACATTAGAAAAATCACACGGCACACCACCAAACAAAACCACCAGGTATAGCAGAAGTGGCCCGGTTTGTCCCCAGTATACCTTTTTTGCTTTCTTCTGACCACTACTCCTACTAGGGCCTTCATCTGGGTTGGAATTTTCTCCAGGACCCAGGTCCGATTGACTACTTTTTTTTATTCAAATATTCATCTATTGCTATTAAGTGCTGCGTTGTTTCACTCACAAGCATGACTATTATGTATTTTCTTTCCATCTTCTTCTGTTTTACTGGCAGTTAGCAACCAATTTAATTAGAGCAGGTAGTAGTACTGCCCCCTAGTAGAAGAGAATGTAATTGTTCTGCCCATTACTCACGTTGATCGCTTAGAGTACTAATCAAGCGGAACCAGATAATCTTCCACGGCACACCTGATCATTTCTCGGCACAGTGGTTGGGAAACACTGCTCTAGGCACAAACCATAGGCTATATGTAAAAGTTAGATGTAGCAGCCAATTGGTTTCTGAACATTGATGTTGTTTTTTGATCCAAAGTTACCATTTTTAGATTAGATTAGAATGCTTAGTGATCAGTTAGCAAGCTTGGTAAGCTACTTATATCCAGATGGTGTGTAGCACAATGACTGGAACAAAAACTGGAAGGATGCCCACGGACAGGGAACTGGGGGTATGTAATGACCGTCCATGGAATATGCGTGAAAATTCATGTGAAATCACTTTTAGCACGGAAGATTTGCCCCCCAGGAATTAAACTTATTTTAACTTTGAGGCAAGAAATAAAAATGGGAGAAAGAAAATACGAGTGATAATGCACAAGATAATGTGATAATGCACTACAAACTACAGCTACCCTTAATTCTGATCCTAAATAAATCCAAGTGAATGATATAGGGTAAATTTTCGCCCAGTCTACAATAGTTCCAAAGGGCAAAACAGTTTTTGTATTTGTGGCTGTAAACATATAATGCTGTAAAACTGGGCATTTTAACATGGTAGTCGTATGGGGATTCCCACCTGTTAGAGGAACACAGTTTCTGACACTCCAGCATTGGCTTCATTTCTCAGCTCTGGAGTTTCCAGATTGATTTAAATGTATAAAAAAATATTTGGGATGTAACTGTAAATCTATCATCCAAAAACACATATGTGAGCAGCTACAAATATAAAAGGTCATATTTTATCATTTACATTATGTTCAGTTTACATCTACTTTGGGTGTGAAAGGGAAAGACCTGTAATTGAAAGAGCTAAAAGTCTAAATATTAATAATGAAGCCAGTTCTCAGAGGTTTTAACAGGAGGAAGTTGGTAACTATTAAAGAGGAGAAATGAGGCCTTTCACGTTTGATATCTGTTCCTGTCTCTCGTTTTCTCTGAATCACTTTTTTCTCTCTCTGTCCACGGGTATTCATGAGTCAACTTAGCACACTTGCCTGCTTTTCACCACCAGAGATTAACAGAGGTGTCGAGAGCTGGCAAAGACTTCTGAGATGAACACAAATGTTTCAAGTTGTTCGTTACTGTCAACAAAGTGCTGATCTGTTCTTGTCAAGTCACAGCTCAATGAGAAAAGTGTCAAACCCCCGATCTGTGATTTGTGCTGCTGTTATGTCATTCAGCCCTTCTTTATTCTCTCTCTTTTTTCTAGGTAAACACAACAGAGCGTTTCTTCTTTGTGGTCAAATGAGGCCATAGTGCTGTATCTGCTCTACATTTGGTCACAAGCTCATCAGTGTTGTTAGCTGACTTACAGAAAAACTTTGGTGCAATCACTTTGCCACTTTCTTGCAAATGTGTGTTTGACAGCTTCTTTGTCCCATCCTCATTGCATTACATGATGCTCATTGGCTTCTGTTTTGTTTTTGTTTTGTTTTTTATTTTGCATCCAGTGGCAACTTTTTTGCTGGCTTTTGGGAAATAATAAAAAACATGCCAGGAAGGATAGTTGTTTTTACATTTTTAGGTCATGGTAAAAACCTAAAAATGTGAATTTGTGATATTTACTGCAAAGCATTATGTTATTACTGCATTCAAGAAGCGTTTTGTCAAACATGTATCCCCTCCTTTTAAAGACAAGCTACTTTTTTCAGTTTGAAATAAATAAATATGTGTTCTTGTATTTCTGTCTGTGAGATATACTTTAATTCCATTTTTCTTAAAGGTTATGTGATGGTATTTGAAAGACAAAAAAACCGCCCAAACCACAGAATATGATATTCTTATATAGCATGAATATACATATGTATTTTTGCTATTATTTCATTATTAAGGTTAAACATCACTAATTATCACTAAATGTGTTGTGTTGGTCTCAAACCGATGTACAAATTTTAATGAAACACAAACTGGAGGTCTCACTGGGATTTGGATGAATGCTAATATATTTTGGCCAGTTAGCACTACTAATTGCGTCATGACATATCAACCCTATTTCCTGGACCTACACTGGAAAAAGCTTTCGCCTTTTTAAGAAACTCCTAAATTTGTCAATTTTTCTTTGAAAATGGGTCCTCCAAAAAGTATTCAGTTGTCATTCTAGCCATGTGTAGCTTTTTATTAGCACTATTCAAGTATAGCACAGCTTTGAGCTAAGTTTTAGAGACTCATTGTACACAAGAGCATTCAGGTTCGTTGTCTCTGGACAGCAAATATTTAACACTTCAAAAAGACAACCACTCTCAGGCAAAGTCAAATTTCACTGGGACCTTTAAGATCAAGACTTTTTCATAACCAATTATCTAAAGCACAATTGTATTTGTTTATATTAGCCTACTCAGAGCTTTGTAGCTACCCATGTAATACCAGCTAGCCCAAAATCACAAACCTCCTAAACATTGTTGGTATTTAGTTTTCCATCTTTGTTTTAATCCAAAGTTCAAGATTTCAGCCAGAATATTGTTCTTGATCTTTAGATGTCTACCCTGTTTTCCATGCTGGTATTTTCTAACTCCATTAAACCTGTTAAATCCCCATCGTATGAATACCTGGACATAAGTCTTTCTGGAGAGAACAGTCATCCTTATATAGTTTTTTTAGTTGAAATAATAAGGACGTCATACTTAAAGTGGATAAAAAGACTGATAACCATAGAAAGTATAGAAGGTGGACGTAGCTACTGTGACATCATCCAGTTTCTGAGGTCATATTTTGAAGCTTCATGATTAACATTTTCACCATCAGTATCTTGGTTTACAAAAAACAAATGTGGCAAGAGGGGTAGGCATGACTAAACACAGGCTACTATCTACTCATTTAGACAGTAGCAATAGACAGTGGTTTCGTTCCTTATTCAACTATGATTGACTAAGCCCATAAACTCAGGAAGAAACATTGAAACAACAAAAATCATCTAATGGCATTAGCTAGTCAGACAGTAGTAAAGAGTCTGTCATTGACTTGCATCTTTTAATGTCCTTTTTAGTGTACATTAAATTTAAAAAGAACTGTTATTTTGCCCTTAAAGGTTCAAAAGTCAGAAGACGAAATTAAGAGATTGATAAAACATTTATGGTCAGTTGAGTTGGTCTTCTTTAGATGTTTGAGATTTTGGTGAAAAAAGTTCAGGTAACTGAAAAGAAGACTAGAAAAGGTACCTTTGGTCACAAATAAACAGACTCTTTCTCCTTAACTCAGACAAACAACCAAAATAATTCAAATTGTATCCGAAAGCAGCAGAGTAAGCTGTAAGAAAAAAGAATTAAGAATTAGTGGTCTCGCTTAATAAACCCTCACACACTGGAATGCTGGAATACTGAATAATTCCAAAACAAGAAATTAGATCATTTCAATATTTATGAAAGTTTCCTGTTTGCCTGCCTGTTTAATCACAAACATGATGACTCACTTCCTATTTCTTCCTGTCCTTTTTCTTCCTCTTCTTCTTCCTCTTGTGTTTCAGTATGATCTACTCCTTGGTTACCTCATAACAACTGATTATCAACAACTGGGGAGAAACAGGAACACCTTTCGAGGCATTTGATACAACAGGACTAAAGAACACTAAAAGACAATACATTTCAAAGTAGAATAACAAAAACCTTTTTTTTCCTTGTTGCTGTGAAGCCAAACATCGAACATACACGTGGTTGAAGCTTGTTTTCTGCTTCATACCCAAAAGAAGAAAGGACATGCTTTATCCTCAACTGTATATAAAAATTGAAAACTAAATCTACTGTTTACAGTTTGACTCCTCATAGCGAGACCCAAGTTAATCACTGCCTGGCCAACGTTTGTACCACACACACACAAATACAAACATACACAAACACAAACAGCCACAGCCTCCTCTGGAGTGCTACTGTACTTGCTGTACGGTAACGGCGATGGTAGCCCAGAGGACGAAGAGCACAGTATTGCACAGTTTGTCTCAGGCACAGCATGGTGAAGCACTGTCAGGCCCAGCACAACTCACCGAACCCTCAGTCACTCCTCTTCGATGCCTCACCAACTGTAGCTTCACCGGTGAGCTCAGGACGAGGGATAGATGAACGGATCACACTGTACAGAAAAGAGAAATGAGTTCTTGCGGGTGGGGTTTTGGGGGAGTTGAGCAGGAACACACGCGGTCTGTACGTAGCCTGTGGGATTTTCTTTCAAACATACGTGAATGGCTTTTGTGATGTGTGCATTTTGGTGTATTCTTTAAACAAAGGCATTTCAAATTGATCTTCAGCAAACGTATTCTCTTTACAGCAATGCCTTCTTAGTGTCGTCCTAGTGTTGTTCTATTGTGTAAACTTTTCGAAAACTCAAGCTAACAACTGAAACCTGGCGAAGCTTTGATAGGAGCACACATTCTTTGCACAATTAGTGTCTTCAATCTTGCACAATGTGCTCAATATTTGGCTATATTAGAGAACATTTATTATGGTCTATCCACACAGGTGACGGTCTTCCAACATGTAAAGAACCTTTCAGCCCTATTTGAAGATAGGGAAACAATGTGAATCTTTTCTAGCTCTCTTTACACCTTGGACCAAAATATTGTATTTTTTTCATTTGGATTTATTTATTTTGTGACTGCTCATTTTCATGCTTTATTTTAAACATCAATTTCCAATGTAACTAATGCCAGGAGCAAACAAAGCAGAAGATGGGAAAGGTGCCTGGTATTAATTGGGTTTTTCTCCCTGGTTCGAATAAAAGCAACTGTAGCAAATGATGTTGGCAAGAGGTTGTGAAGAGGATGTCATGAATCACCAGAATTAATTCAGCAGGGCAGGTGGTTGAACCTGCATCATCCATGTGTAGCACAGTTTTCTAACTATTAAGAAACTCGTTAAACCTTCCCCACCATCTTTGCTTGATGAGCTTCAATTTGTAAAGTGGCAGCAGCAAAGAGCAGATAGGAATGCCCCGTTCTTGTTGTTTTCTCTTCTTCTAAGTCAAGCGTTTTCTAACGTAACCTGTATGTATGTGACCAACCAAGTTGAATTTAGATATTGTTTATGAAATAAAGTATTTTAAAATCTAAAGACGCAGTCATTGTACTTAAAGTGTTTTCAATGTTTCAGTGTTTTCAAATATTATTTCAAACATAATTTCTGTGGCATCCTCTCTGCATCATTTTACATTTGGCATATTGATTTAGCCTCGTTGCATCGGGACAGGAATCCCACCCCAGTTTGATCACCCAAATGAAAACCTTCTATCAGAAAAACAATAATACAGAGAAATTCACTTGATTTGTTCTGGTTTATGAAAATATGCCATTTTACCTTCTGACTATACCAAAACTCAGTTATAACCCTAGATAGGTCACTGGTAACCATTGAGGGATTTAACCATCTGATGCCTATTTTGGCTGCCTCCACTGCGAGTGTGTAAGCAGCAGATGATTTGCTCCCTGTCGCTAGCAACCTCCTCTGTCAAACCAATCCTCCACATGTCATCTTTCACAAATCTATGAATCTTCCTCCTCATTTAACATCTTTTATCTACTATCTCACCTTTGCACATGTCCAATCCGTCTGAGCCCTGCCTCTCCATCCACTTAGTTCTAATCTTGTCCATTCTTTTCACTTCAAATGAAAATCGTAACATTTCATAATTTCATCAGTGCCATCTCCAACCCATACATTATAGCAGGTCTCACTAGCATCTTATAAACCTTCTTTTTCACTCTTGCTGCTATGCTTCTATCACCAATCACCCCTGACACTTGTCTCCATCCACTCACACTGCCTACAGAGACTGTAGGCAGTGTCTTAACCTCTCTTCTAACCTGTCCGGTGGTCAACCCTAGGTACTTCAACTCATCCACCTTTACTGACTCTACTCGTTGCATCTTTGCTGTTACACCTGTCTCCCTCTCATTCACACGCATGTATTCTGTCTTGCTCCTACTGACTTTCATTCCTCGTCTTTCCAGGGCATACCTCCACCTCTCCAGGCTCTCGTCCACCTGCTCGTCCACTCTCTCTATAGATCAGTATCATTTGCATCATGTTACACAGACACCTGTCTGAACTTATCTGCCTTATTTGCATCATCACTGCAAATAAGAAAGGCTTAGACCTGATCCCTGATGTAATCCCATCTCCATTTTGACTGTTACTCCAGCTACACACCTCACCGCAATCTCTTTGCCCTCATACATGTCATGCACCACCCTCACATACATATCTGCCACGCCTGAACTGCTCATGGCGGTACAACTGTTCCTCTCTTGGCTTATGCTTAGTTGGATGCACAAACACTCAGTCCTTCTGATATTTTCTATACTTCTCCATCAATACTCTTGAAGAAAACATCACATCTGTTCAGATTATCAACATGAAGCCACACAAATGCTCAACAATCATCACCTCTCTGCTCAACCTAGATTCAACAACTTTGCCATGGTCATGGTATCATTACTTTTTCCCTCTTGCTACAGCTCTGCACTTCACCCTTTACCTGAATTTCAGGAGTGGAACCACACCTCCATAGATACCTCTTCTGGCCAGGGAGCTGCCTCCAGTCCCCTCTCAGGCCTTCCCCAAGCCTCAATTCATGCTAACACCATCTGTCATCATCTACTAGAAATGCCGTCAAATTTAAATGAGGATGTGTCCCAGCTAGTGGATGTTGTTAAAAATTGGCACTTGATGCTTGTTATTCATCTGTTCATTCTCCAGGGTTGAGGAACAATTTTGTCAAAACCTCCACCGTCCTCTCTCCTTGACACCTTCATACTTCCATGGGTATGCCATCTGGACTATCTGCCTTATCATTCTTCCTAATCCTCTGCACTTCCTGATTTGTCTCCTCTGTCTCATTTGCTTTATTCAGCTCTTGATGAATACTATTCCTCCCATCTTCTCAACACAAATTTCCCTTTTTATCTTTAGTCACCCTAACCTGCTGCACATCCTTTCCAGCTTAACATCTATGCCTAGCTAATCAGCCCACACATACATATATAAGCCTTATTCTTTGCTACACATCACTTTCCTGTACACCTCCCACCAGGCTTGTCTCTTTTCTTTATCTCCCCGACTATCCCATGTTTTCTTTGCTAATGTCTTCATTTGAATACTGTCCTGCACTTCCTCATTTCACCACTAAGTCTCGTTCTCCTCGAACCTCTTCCCTGATAGTACAACAAACACCTTCCCAGTAGTTTCCCTCGCCATTTGTGATGTAGTTTCGCACTCATCTGATAACTCTCCCTTAAAACCCAGAGACTGTCTGGGGTTTCTCCTGAACTCTGTGCAGCATTTTTCCTTCTCCAAGTTTCACCAAGTTCTCCAAGGTTTTTCCTTGCCACATCCTTTTTGCAAAATCCACTACACTCTGTCGTTCTGCATTTCTCTCCTTAACACCAAACTCACCCAACACCTCCTTATCACCTACTGTACGTATCCATTAAAAGTATGCTTCAATCACCATTCTCTCCTGCCTGGGGACGCATCACTACATTAAGCTTACTCTAGAATTATTATTGCTTTGGCATCCAACCTGTGGGGCATGCACACCAACAACTTTCAGTATAACCCCTTTGATTTCCAGCTTCAAACAACTGATCCCGTCTTACAGTCTCTTCACCTTCACAACACTATTCACATACTTCTTTTTCCAGATTATCACTACTTCATTTTTTCCTTTCTATATACACCATGGTAGAACAGCTTAAATCGACCTCCAGTGCTCCTGACCTTGCTTCCCTTTCACCTGATGTCTTGTACACAATATATTTACCTTCCCTCTCTCTATAATATTAGACAGCTTTCTCCCTTTAGCAGTCATAGTTCCTATATTTAAAGTCCCTACTCTCACCTACTTGCACCCCTTCATTTGTTTTTGGCCCACAGTACCAAAGTTTACACTGGCACCCAGTTGTCTAACAGAATCTGAGGCAATCTTTGTTAACAAGCCCCAACTGATTTTGTATGAAAATGTTGATTTGTTAAAGATTTGGTAAAGATTTGATGTTTCATGCCCTTCTTTACGCAACCCTACCCATTTATTCTAAATTGTGTTGTACAGTTATTTCATTTTTAAGCTTAATTTATATTTTATTCCTTCCTAGTTAAATTTACCCTTTTTAATTTTTCATATTTATTTTCCTGGCAGCATGGTGGCACGGTGGTTAGCAATGTTGCCTCACAGCAAGAAGGTCCTGAGTGTAATTCCACCATCAGGCCGGGGTCTTTCTGTGTGGAGTTTGCATGTTCTCCCCGTGTTTGCATGGGTTCTCTCTGGGTACTCCGGCTTCCTCCCACCGTCCAAAGACATGCAACTTGTGGGGATAGGTTAATTGGATAATCCAAATTGCCACTAGGTGTGAATGTGCGAGTGAATGTGAGTGTGAATGGTTGTCTGTCCCTGTGTGTTGGCCCTGCGACAGACTGGCGACCTGTCCAGGGTGTACCCCGCCTCTCGCCCTATGACAGCTGGGATAGGCTCCAGCGCCCCCAGCGACCCTGAAAAGGATAAGCGGAAGTGAATGGATGGATGGATGGATATTTATTTCCTATCTTATTCATAGCCTTTTTTTTTTTAGGTCACGAGCAGTTGTCTAAGCATTTCACTGCATATCGTACTGTGTATGACTGTGTACGTGACAAATAAAATTTGAATTTGAATTTGAATTTTATTCAGAGAATAGCAGAAGGGGTACACTGGCTTATGTGAGTGTGTCCCAGGCTGGGTTCACAGGAGATACTTGATATATTTTCTTTTTCTACTGAAAATTATAATAATATTTAAAAAAAAATGTTGAAGTCAGCAATATCCTCCTTCCCAATAAAATCTCTGGCACATAACTATAAAACAAACTGTTTCTGGCATCTTGCTGCGGTAAACCACCCCCTTCATCAAAGAAACACTGTGAGCACCTTAACATATAACAGCACTTTATTGTTAAACAAACAAGGAAAGAAAATATTTAATTAAGATGCATAAACACTCCTTAATTCTCTCTGGTGAATAAATGTATCACCTTAATGTATAAGTCATTTAACAGTAAAATTCTGGTGTCCCAAGCACTTCAACACTTTACACATTTATATCCACTACTCATGCTCACACATTCTTTTGTTGGTCACTTGAGAACAGTTCAGTGTTTTCTATTAGGGAACATGTAACAATTACTTTTCACAACTCACTAATCTTTCTATTTTTTCATTAATTCACTCGTTTTTCCCTGACCACATTTTAAAGAGGAAAAGACAAGAACCTTGTTGTACGGAGTGATAACTTATTTAATATTTCATTTCCTGCATTTAAATAAGAAAAAGGTGCAGTGCAACAATACTCAAGACAAAGGTACTCTGTTGTTGTTGCCAAGGGAAAAAAGGGAAAAAAATGTCCGATATTGGTATCATTTGTGACATGAAACCAATGCATATCCCATAAATGGCTTGGCCAGGAATGTATTATTTGATGCCCTGGGAATAGCAACAACCTCAATAAACAGGGTACTATCAAAATCTGAGACCAAGTTGTAAAAATCCAAAGCCTTAGTTAACTTATACTAAATCTCAGATTCAAGGTCATCTTCTCAGGATCATTTCAGTGCAGCTGTGATCCCTCAATAGAAGTTCTGCTGTTTCACTAATTGGTCAGACATTTTTCACATTTCACATTTTTCCTTAGCAGCTGCTGCCTGCCAGCATGTCACCAACCACTCTCTAGGCGTTTATAACTAAATAGATATAGTTTAGATAGATCTATTGTGTCTTGGTCTGCTGCAGGTGTACCGCCTCACGTTGTCCCTTGCATTGTGGGTAACTATATGTGTGTAGCCAGATACCCTTCAGAGGAAACCAAAAATAACAAACCATGAATTATAAACAGTGTTAATCTGTTCTCTCTCTTAAAGAATAAATCCAACTCATTCATTGAGAATATTAATAAAGAATTGTTATTCTAGATGCTCAGACAGAAAAAGGACTGGATTAATTAGGATATTGCATGGGGACGTTAGTCCATTGTGAACCCTGTTACAGCACTATACATGTTTCTGCCAAAAGTAAGAAGAAGAAAAATG